GCTAGTGGGTGTTAGCCATCCTAGAAGGAGAACCAACAGTGATTTTAATCTCACTGTATAAATAAACAGATACACACCTGTGAACACTGATACTTTCATTTATTTATGCAAACTGTGCCCAGACTGTTACATTTACCGGGAGTCAACGCCGAGGAAATACAAGTCACGTCGGTTATCGTCGATCTCGTTTCACAAAACTGTACTACTCACTACAAATACTGAACAAATTCATCTCTCTGTACTCGTAGACATACATTGTACCCCATTTCGTTTATCGCATTTGCTTGGATCAATTATCCTCAGTTAACCACACTTCATTAACACGATAGGGCGAACTAATCAGGAGGCCACCGGGACAGCGGCATCAGTCACGGAATCTAGAAGTGCGCGTACTAGATGGAACGCTTCGATCAAACGCGCGTTAGCGTACTGAGCAGACGACGATGCCCTCAAAATATTGTCTGATTTTGATATTGAAATCTGCTGTTATTGGTTATGGACCGTTTTATTTGATGCCGATTTTGGTATTAAATACTTGTTATCTAACAATTTCTCTTCTTTTTTAATAATTTCTTGTTTATTCGTTTTCGAAAACAACATTGTATTCATATCCATGGGACAGGGCCTTGATGCTCAATTATGTAATACATTATCGCGAATAATCTGCTGCAATGACGTCATCCACTGGTATTGATAATGCTATAATATAATATGTAATAATCAACAATTGTAAAACGCAGCATGACCGGATTGCGCTACCACGATCATTCGCTACTAAGAAATGCAGTTGTGTTCATTGTTATTTGAAACTTCTTTTAGAATATACTTTCATTACTAATAAAATGAAACAAAATAATTGTATTTGGTGCACGATGTTCGTTAATGTGATTTTATTGGAGAAAGATGCGCTGTCTACTTATCAATCCAGCTAGAAAAAAATGTATACAATTTTAGTTTCTTTTGTTTTGGGTGGTCCAACTGCCGGTGTTGAAAGTCGGGGTAGGTGGATTTTTCAATGAAAATATAACCCCCCTAAAAATATTTGATGATAATTTTTTGAACCCCAAATAAGGGCCCACCAGCCGTGAAACCGCCCAGGGCGATTTTTCGGATGGGCGAATTTACGGCAGAATCTGGTACAATCTTTTTTTTTTTCTGTTTATGAATTTTGAGTTTACT